AATCAACAATATTTCTATTTTCCTAACCTTTTCTAAATTTACCATGTTAAGCAAGATGCCTCTAAATGAGAGTAACAGATTTGATTGAGTCATATAAATAATTGGATAATAAATCCTTTTGCAAGTCAGATGGTTTCCAGTCCTTTGCTGTCAACAAAATTAGAGGATACCTAATCAAGTTGTCAGCTGATTTATCATTAAAAAATATTTTTATGGCCAATAACTGATTTTTGGCACACAATTTTCAAGTTCAAAGAATTCAATGGCAATAATAGAACAAAACTCCCGTTTCCATCTACTTATGGGCACAAGGTCTCTCAGCCATTTAAATTTGTAAAATGAAAGTAGGAATAGAATTGATAGTGGACCCCATCATTCTAAGAATACTGTTTTCCATATAAATATAAACTAATTGAGAAAAAAGAGCAAGTCCATGTATCTTAAGAAATGCAATCACAATAAAATTAGATTTTTTTATGTTTGATAGTTATTTTGAAAATGTATGTTTTGTGATCAGTTATACACTAGTGATAATTGTAATGAAAATACAGAGAATTTAACATGTTAGAGCTTAGGATCACAGGGAACAAATTCAGAAATATTTTTGTTGGAGAAAGTGTGACAGTTTCACTAAAAGCACAAAATATGTTACAATAGGCTAAAGTTATATAAAGGAACAGAAATATGAGCTCAAGAAGAGAAAAAGCAATAGTATGACATTTCCAATTATTAAAAAGATTACATGTGTTTAAAAAATAGATGGAGGATATAAATCACTATGATATTTTGGAACCACGGGATACATCTAATGGAGCCCTAGTGATGTAGTGGTTAAAGCATCCGGCTGCTAACAGAAAGGTCACTTTTCCGGCTGCTAACAGAAAGGTCACTTTTGGAAGCCAGCAGAGCCAGGCCCTGGTCTGGAGGAGCCTAGAGACCTTGTAGGAGAGGGTGCTTGTCTGCCCAAGAGATGTAAGACCTGAACTAAACCCTTGATTCTGCTCCTAAACTAATCAGCCTTGTAAGAACTCAAAGCTGGGAGTTAGGACAGGGTTCTAGTTCCTGGCTTGTCACTCATTTCGTGGCCTAGAACAAACACTTCCCTTCTCTGAGCCTCAGTTTCTTCATAAGGTATCAGGCCATAGACAATCTGTAAGGGCCCTCCCAGCTCTTCACATTTTCTTTGAAGTAAATGCTTTGGAGACGGGGAAAGGAGCTGCATGCACAGAACTGGAGGCTGGGAAAGCCCAACTTACCCTCCAAAGTTTCTCTTTCAAGGGAGCAGGACACAGAAGCACAGGCGGTAACAAGCGCCCAGGGGCAATCTCTAAGTTGCTCGCTCCCCCCGCCAGACTCTTGCACTGGGCGAAGGTGGTGGTGATCTGCCGGCCGGCCTCGTGTGGCGCCCCTTTTGTCAAAGTGGTCCCCTTTGTCTCCCTCCATGTGGCCAGGCAGCCAGCCCCCATTCCTTGGTGGCCTTAGGTTCCCCAAGCATCCCCCCTTTTTTTTTTTCTGGAAAAAGAAGCAACTACTTCTGCGTCCGTGCTACCTGAGTCCTAAGGAAAACAGGCTTCACCTCTGAGCGCAGTTCACCCTGTGGAACAGGAAGAACAGCACTTTGAAACGTTCCTCCCTCCCTCTGGCTGCTCACTCTGGGGTCTCGGGCAAGAATGACCCCGAGAGGTCCAGGGGACGCCGGAACATTGTGTTCTGACCTTATTCAGCCAGCCATGCAGGTCATAGCTTGCTCACCACCCTAGAAGGAACACCCACATCCCTTTTCTGCTGTGCTCTCCTACCATCCTGTGCCGACTGCCCGTCCTTAAACATCCCCTCTCTCCTTCCTCCCCAGAGCGCAAACCCCTCTACTGTGTGGCTCACACGCCCGTCTACAAGCACAGGCTTCATCTCCCGCAGGAATGTCAGCCTTCACCTTTCACAGCAACTGACACCTGGTTCTCCCCGCAAGGAGCCCTCTCCAGTGTGGGCTGCTCGTTTTCTCACACTCGCAAGCTCAGGGTCAGGAAGGAGGTAGTCAGCCTTCCTGCTCCCCATGGCCACATTCACACCATTTCCCCTTTAATCTCCATGCCCACCTTCATCCTAGTCACTCCCTCTTTCTTCTTTTCTTCTTTTTTTTTTTTTTTTAATTTTTACAGTGACTTGAGTGGGAATTTACAGAGGAAATTCATTTTCCATACAGTAGTTCATACACTGTTTCATAACACTGATTGCAAGTCCCCACAATGTAACAGCTCGTTTACCACTTCCTCCCTGTAGTTATCTCTCCTGTGTCCTCTCCTATGCATGCCTGCCCCCTGAACTAGCTCCCTGTGCAAATACACCCCTTCTGTTCTCTCAGGATTGATCATTCTGAGTGTTGCAAATGTTCTCCCTACTTGCCTGTCTATTGTTGGGCTAGAAGCCACAGGAGTGGTTCAGTTCCAGGCCTGAAGGGTAACTAGGGGCCACTCACCAGGCTGGGTGTGTCACCAGGTTCTATCAGACCAGTAAATCTGGTCTTTTTCATGATTTGAGTTTTGTTCCATACTGTTCTCCTGCTCTATCCAGGACCTCTTGTCACTCCTTCTTACTGAAGACTTTGGCAGTGAGCTCATGGCCTTCTTTTCACTCAACTTAATACCATCATCTTCAGTGGCCTTTGTGGTCAATTTATCCCATACTCTGTCCCTTGACCTCATATCCAAAGATGTTCCTCTCCATTCCATTTCATCCATGCTCTCCCATGGACAGACCCTCTTGCTGACATCAGGAATTCAGACATTGACCCCCGTCATAATCTCCCAACCTCCTGATTCATTTACTGCCATCACACTGGGGCCTCTAACACATTTACTTCACTTTCCCCCAGTCCACCAGCCCCTTTTGGCCTCACGTCACTTCATATCCAGCTTGAACTGGGTGCTCCATCACTTCCAACCTCTCTCTTACTCAATTCCGCAAAATTACTGAATCCCAACACTGGATGATGATGTTGTTGTTGTTATGTGCCGTCGAGTCAAACCCGACTCATAGCGACCCCTCCTTGGGTTTCCGAGGCAATATCACTATGGAAGTAGGATTGCCCAACCTTCCTTCCAAGGAGTGGCTGGTGGGTTTGAACCGCCAGCCGTCTGGTTAGCAGGCAAGTGTCTTAGCCACTATGCTACCAGAGCTCCCCCTCAACACTGGATGAGTCAAATAACTTTTTTCTAAGCAGACTCCGGATTTCTGAGCACTTTTGGGGAAAAGCACACAGCCTAGAAGATTAGGGGCCCCAGACCAGCGACCACTCGTCTCAGCTGGGCTTTCAACACTGCCAGCAATCCCTCAGTCCTAGGCTCGTGATGCTAGGCACTCCTCACACCTAAGGTTTATCCTTTCATTCCTTCCATCTCCTCAGAGCCCTTTAGCCATACTTCCTGCTGTTTCTCCTGGATGGACAACCTCTCCCCATGTCCAAGAAACTTCAAATAGCACCTAAACAAGCTCTAGAATCTCTTAGCTTAATAATAAGTAAGCCCTTTCTTGTTCATGGACCTGCATCCTCACACTTTTTGAACCAAATGTCTACATTCCCTGCCTCTATTTCCCCATTTACTTGTCCTACCTGGCTCCTGCCCCCATCACACCACAGCACCACTCTTCTCAACAGGCCACCAGTTGGTCCATCAGTCCCTACTTAGTCTCTGTTGCCCTGACATAATTGACCATTCTTTCTTCCCTGTGTTCCTGTGACATCACACTCCTGCTGTCCACCTGTATCTCATTCCCAGCTTCCTCTGACCCCTGAGGTAGGCCCTCCTCCTGGCTTTCTTCCAGACCCTCTGCTCTCTGTTGTTCTATTCACTCTTGAACTTATAAGTCCCACTTGCAAATATACATCTCTAAACAGGTTCCTCCAACTGCCCACACAAATGATGTAGAGACTGCTCAGTATCAACACGGCCAAAAAACTGCTTTTCCTTTAACCCACTTCCCTGTCATAATCTCCCTACTCTGTGAGTGTCATGTCTTCTAGGTAAAAGGCAGCTCTGGTGGCGTCGTGCCTAAGGCATTTGACTGCTAACCAAAAGGCTGGTGGTTCAAACCCACCAGCCACTGCTCCGAAGGAAGGCTGGGCAATCTACTTAGGTAGTGATATGCCTCAGAAACCCAAGGAGGGGTCGCTGTGAGTCAAAATCTACTCGAGGGCAGTGAGTTTGTTTATATATACATATACACACATATGTATGTGCACATATGCATACATGTATATGCACACATTCTTCCAGTACGTTCTCTCTGCTGCTTTCTTGTTCATACTGGCTACCTCCTATACATCCTTCAAGGCTTCCTCGATCCCTCAATTCAGGACAGAGACCTTGCACTGTGTTCCCAGAGCGTGGATCACGATGCATTGTGTGCTCCTATACTTCCGTATTGATACTGCCTCGGAAACCCAAGGAGGGGTCGCTATGAGTCGGGGTCGACTCGACAGCACACAACAACAACAACAACAACATACCTCAGCACACAGTAGGCGCTCAGTGCATAGTAAATGAATGGAGTGAATGAAGGAGATAATGGGATTATTGTGGGCAGCCGCTGCTTTCCTCCAGAGCACGTACTGCTTCGGAGTCCAGCGCACCAGGCGAAGACCCCAATCGCCAGTCGCCTACCCGCAACCTGAACAACTTGGTGCTGCCCCACAACCCATGGAAGTGGCTGGCAAAGAGTCCCGGCCCTCCCGCCCCGGGTGCCATAGGCTCTCCCAGAGCCAATGGAAACAGTCTGCGGGAGCACTTTTGCAACACGTTATACTCGGGCGAGCCAATGAATGCGCCCAGAGGAGAGTCCCACTGCTTTTCCTCTGGCCAATGGGCTCGGCCTGCGTAGCCCTCCAGCGGGGCGGAGCCGGCCCTCCGGGGCGTTGCCTAGTGTGCACTCAGACTCTGGTCTTCTCAGGTCTGCACGTTCTGCCGAACTCATTTCGTTCTGCCCCGCCCAACCAACGGATCATGGGAGTTCTGGGCGCCAGGCGCGGCCTGGAATGGCTGCTGGGCTTCTACTTTCTCTCCCACATCCCCATCACCCTGTTCATAGACCTCCAGGTGGTGCTGCCGCGTGAACTCTACCCGGTCGAGGTGAGGGGTGGCCGGTCGGTCCAGACCCGCCGGTCGCCGAGTTTGAGACCTCCATGTAATGCGGTTCCCGCTCAGGGTTCCATTTCGCCTGCCTTTCCATCCTCCTCCCCACTCACCCCCAACCCGGCCTGCCTTGGATCTCGTGGGTGGGCCCGCCTCCTTACTCCTCACCTGTTGTATGTGATCTTTTCTTTCTCTTTCCCAGCCCCTTCGCTGGAACTGCGGGGGACAAAGACTTTGTTCCTTTTAAAGGCTTGCACACTGCACCTCTGGTCAGTTAGTATGTGAGGAAGGTAGCCAGGATGAACCAGTGTCTAAATCACGTGTTGGATTTGTTTTAAAGGGTTTTTTTGGAAGAGCTTTAAAATTCAAATCTAATGCCAAAGACGTAATCCAAGTAGAATTGTTAGGTGCCATCCAGTAGGTTCCAATCCTGTGTACAACGGACCAGGTCCTGTCCCGTCCTCACAGTTGTTGCTGTGTCTGAGCCCACTGTTGCAGCCACTGTGTCAGTCCATCTCCTTGAGGGGCTTCCTCTTTTTCACTGATGGGATTTTACCAAGCATGGTGTCCTTCCTTCTGCAGGGAATGGTCCTTCCAGATAATATGGCCAAAGTATGAGAGGACCTCTTGCCACCTCTTCTGAGGAACATTCTGGCAGTACTTCTTCCAAGACAGATTTGTTCCTTTTTCTGACAGCCCATGGTATATTCAGTATTCTCCATGAACACCATAATTCAAATGCATCCATACGTCTAAGGTTTTCCTTACTCATTATCCAACTTTCACAAGTATATGAGGCGATTGAAAATGCTATGGCTTTGGTGAGATACACCTTAGTTCTCAAAGTGACATCTTTGCTTTTTAACACTTTAAAGAGATCTTTTGCAGCAGATTTGAGCAACTAGTCATTTGATTTCTTGACGACTGCTTCCATGGGTGTTAATTGTGGATCCAAGTAAAATAAATCCTTACAACTTCACTATTTTCTCCATTTATCATGATGTTGCTTATTGGTCCAGTTGTTAGGATTTTTGTTTTGTTTATGTTGAGGTGTAATCCACACTGAAGTCTGTTGTCTTTGACCATTTGTAAGTGCTTCAAGTCCTATTTGATATCAGGTACTCGGTTGTGCCATCTGAATGTCCCAAGTTGTTAATGAGCCTCCCTCCAATCCTTCAAATGATCCACCTTCTTGGATTATTTACTCAGCATACAGGTTGACTATATATGATGAAAGGATACAACCCTGACTCATCTTTCCTGATTTTAAACCACACAGTATCTCCTTGTTCTGTTAGAATGCCTAACAGAAAAATACTCCTCTTGGTCTATGTACATGTTTCACATGAGTACAATTAAGTGTTCTAGAATTCCTATTCTTCACAAAGTTACCCATAATTTGTTATGATTCACACAGTTGAATGCCTTTGCATAGTCAATAAAACACAGGTAAACATCTTTCTGGTATTCTCTGCTTTCAGCCAAGATCTGTTTGTGAATAATGCTTCAGTAAACATTGGTGTATAGGTACTCTGCATTCCTGCTTTCAATTCTTTTGGGTATATACCTAGGAGTGGAATTGCTGGATCATTTGGTAGTTCTGTGTCTCACTTTTAGAAGATACACCAAGCTGTTTTCCACAGCAGCCATACTATCTTACAGGAACACCATCAATGGATGAGGGTTCTAATTTCCCTACAGACCCACCAACACCTGCTGTTTAACATCGTGTTTTTTGTTGTTGTTGTTTTGTTTTAGCTTCTATTCATTCATTCATTCATTGTCTCTCTCTTACTATTCACTCCTGATGCTTTGGGGTGAGGATGGATGGTTTTGTTGCTTCTCTATGGAGAAAATAACAGGAATAATAAAAACCTTGAATTACTCTCATATTCTCTTTGAAAAATGCCAAAACTTAGTATCTTTTGTCTTTTTCCTCCTTAAGTAGAAACACTAAAAAAATCTATAGGAAATGACATAGATAGTGGTCAGGCTAAAATTTCAATTAAATATTTTTCTTGGTATGAGCCAAATCAACACTTGGAAGAATTCTCGCTGTATTATGAAATGTAAGAGAGCTTAACTTGGATTAGGACATGGAAGTGGAAGCATTTTATAGGGTCATTTGCATCTGGATAGCATTACTTCTGTTAAAATACTTCCAAAGCCTCCGTGAACAATTGCCTCCTTTGCCATAAGACCAGAAGAATGGATGGTGCCTGGCTACCATTACTGAACATTTTGATCAAAGATTCCATAGAAGAATCCTGATCAAAAGGGGGGAAATGCAGAACAGAAATTCACATTTTCATGGACTCTAGACCACCTGAAGCAATGGAGGGTGGATGAACCCCTGAAACTATTGCTCTGAGAGAATCTTTAAACCTTAAATCAAAAATACCCCTGAAGTCATCTTAAAATCAAACAGTAGTTCAGCTGCACTAGTAAAGTCTGCCTTGAGCAATGTGCTCTTTTAAGAACTATATGGAATCGAATGGACAACAGCAACTTGAAAGATTAGATAGAAACCTTAGGGGGCAATGAGTTTATGTTAATGAGAGGAACAACTCAGAAAAGGAGGGTGAGGATGTCTGCACAACTTGAAGGATATAATCACTCTCTCTAAATTGTACGTGCAGAAACGGTTTGATTGGTGTGTGTTATGCTGTGTATATTCTCAACAACATCAGTAAAATTCAGGAGAATAAAATACTGTCAAAAAAAATTAAGTGAGTCTAGATCTGGTCTTCACTCTCCTTCTAGAGACGTGCCCATTCTTCAGTAACCACCCCAGGTTTAGAAATCCATGTATTCAGGCCAGGTGAGTGTTTTTTTAATTGACAACAGTAGTGAGTTGAAATAGTCAAATGTGAGTCAGGTTTAAATGGAAACTGTTTTCTAACCTTTTTTTTTTTTTGGTCTTACCTACTAAGTAATTCTTATTAATGACCAGTTTCATTCTGATATTTTAATAGAATTAAACTTGAGTTTCTCAAATATATGTTTATTGCATTCAGTCAAAGAATCTTAAAACCTACTAGGTGCTAGGTATTGTTCTAAAGACCATCTATGTATTAAGTCTTAACGATCGTGAAGCAGGCACTATTATTAACCCCACTGTATAGAAAAGGGAACAAGTCTAATGAGGTTAAGGAATCTGCCAGTGCCAGGCCCTCTGTCCCCAGGTCCCATGATCATCACCATGCAGCTGTGGGCCTCTGGTTTGTGTTCTACCCAGCTATCAGTCCAGGCCTGGCTTTAGCATCAGGTGCCAGTTAAGCAACTGAGCAGGGTTGTATGAGTGCCAGCTGATTACTAATAATCCTAGCCTGCAGAAATTACTGTGTGCTACGTACATGACAGGTCTGCCTCAGTTTATGAAATAGGTGGCTCTGAGAGATTGTTGTAAACAATCGTAATTCAATCTCAGTTGAATTAAAAATGAATTGTTCAAGCGCACCAAAATGCTTTTAAAATCTTGTGGTAAAATTTTGAAAGCAGGTAGAAGCCTTCAGATTTTTTTGTTGTTGTTTCAAGTGAATCTAGAAAGCAAAAAAGGATCTTAAAAAAAAAAACAAGTTTAGTCCACAATGCTCATTTTACAGGTGAAGTAGAGAGGCCCCTAGAGAAGTTCATTGACCTAACCTTTATGATTATTTTCTACTGCATCACTATCCTGAAAAATGCTTAGAATGAAGCAAAGGGTATTGTCATGACTTTAAATTTCAAAGCAAGTCCAAATTAGAAATCGATTGTTCAATAAATCAGGTATCTAGCCAGAGCCCTTCTGAAGTTAATATTATGTTAACAGAATGTTTGTTGGTGGATATTTGCTTAAAGCTGGCTCTTTATTGGCATGTTATTTCACAACAGTGAGTCTTTGTGTTTTGATTAAAAATTAACAGGAAAATTGGATTTTCCATTTTACGTGAAATTCTTACACCGGACCTTTTTTCTTGTTTAATCAGAATAAAGAGTTATTTGACATTAAGGGCAGGTGTTCAGGACATTGCTAATTCCAGATTAAATGTGACGGATCTGCTGCAGTCCACATTAAGTGGAGAGCCCCAGGCTTGGGGCTCTTAAAAAGGAACAAAACGGGCAGCCTCAAAGCCTGCTGCTGCCTTCCTCTGCCTATAGTCACAGCAGCATGGGTCTGCATCTTTTCATTTAGTAGGATAATTGCACGGGTGGATGGGGCCCAAGGTAGAACTGAGACTGCTAATTCTCAAACTTTGCCATACCCTAAACGCTATATAGTTTGTGGCTTGGGGCAGAGCTTGTCCTTCCACAAATATCCTAATAGGAAAAAAAAAAATTAAGAATTAGAGGAGTTAAGGGTGATGAGCCCCTGGGTGGTACCAACAGTTAACACACTTGGCTGTTAACCGTAAGGCTGGAAGTTCCCGTCTACCCAGAAGCACCTCAGAAGAATGGGCTGATGATCTACCGCCAAAAAATCAGCCACTGAAAACCCTGCTTTGACACATGAGAGTGCTATGAGTTGGAGTCAACTTGATGGCTTTTTCTTTCTTTTTTTAAGATGAGGAACATAGATGAGAGATTGAAGTGTCCAAAAATCACGTCTCCACGGCTGTTAGATGCCTCTCCCCCACTGAAGAGAAGGAATTAAATGCATTTCTGTGTTTGAGGGAATCTAGTCTTCAGAGTTGGGTGAGCAGTTGCGACTGTGAAGGAACAAATGTCAGGATGCCTTTCACACCTGCCATTTCTTTCCGAAGAATAATACTGGTGGAAATGTCACGTTTGTTCTTCCTGAGCCTGTGAAGTGCTAGATACTGTTGCTCTTTACAATGGGCAACACACTTGGATATGTGTTATCATGCAGTTACAAATGCCAGGTCGCACACAGGGGCTGGGAGAACTGAGGGAAACCTCACAGAGAAGGTAACGTCTGAGTTAGAGCCAGTGAGATTTTATTAAATGACCATCCGGGCCGTATCACAGAAGCCAGCCGGGGTGTGTCATTGCTGCCCAGGGGGCTGGTTAGTGGACACCCGCTGTATCCTCAGATGGAGGTGCTGAGCCTCTCCAGCCAAGATAGTTGTCATCTGTTGTGAATTCCTGCTTTGTCTTTTTTCAGTTGAGAAATGTGCTGCAGTGGTATGCTAAGAAGTTCAAAGACCCTCTGCTACAGGATCCCCCAACGTGGTTTAAGCCCTTCGTCTTATGCGAGCTTGCATTTCAGCTGCCTTTCTTTCCCTTTGCAACATATGCCTTCTTCAAAGGTTGGTCAATGGTTGGGAAAATCAAGTTTTTGCTCAGAAACCAGCTCCCTGAAATCTCTTAGAAAAGCATCTCCGAGAGACAGGGAAGGTCTCTCTAGTTTGTACGAGGGACAGAGGCAGCTCTTGGAGAGCTACAGGATGTGGTGGCAATGGTCAGTGTAGATTACACGAAGGGACATTGGTGTAGCTTGGGCTGATGTCTTTCTGTAAGGGGGTGATGGGACATGAGGAAAGGATGGTGGGTATGAGGAGAGAGGAAAGAAGTGCATGACTGAAAGGAAGTTGGGTGGGATGGCCAAGAAGATGGACCTGGGCAAAGGCTTGTGGAGGCACAGCCCAGACTGGTCAGATGAACCCTATGGCTGCCCCAGCCTTCCAGAAATCCCTCTACTTCTAAAACCTGAGGATACTTGATGGTTTTATAGAACAGGTGGCCGTACTACTGCACCTAGTAACTAATCATGTCCAGCTGAAAATGCTTATTTCCCACTAGAGTCCCCTTGAGTCGGAATCCATCTCTTGGTAGAACCTGTTCATCATCTCACCTATGTACAATTACTTAACAAATAGATGCCGCAAGGCTTCTTGCCTCCCCCCCC